ATAGACTATAATACAGAGAAACACACACACACACAATATATATATATATATATATATATATATATATATAATATCCGAATAACAACATTTGTAAGAGAGAGATTTAGTCAGTCAAAACAGTTAATTGATCTAATTTTATGTTTCTGGCTAATGATCTATGACAATGCGTTATGCTTTTGTGTCTATAATGAGGGATTTGTGGACACATTAACATGTTTTGATTTATGGAGTAAAAATTATAGTTTTTATTTTGAAGTGAAAATATTAAATTAGACTCGGGTAAGATGTGGGACAGAACTGACACAGAAGGCCCTGAGTGCCATGTTAATATTTTTAAATATTTAAACTACTTATTACAGTTAATGGAGCTATTATTCAATATTTTAATGAAATAGATGTACGTCTCAGACATCTTCACTTTTCATTAAAACCTATAAGACAACTGAGTAAAATCAATCAGTTTCAATTAATAGTGTTGCTATATACTGACACATCTTAAATTAAAATATGAGCAATTAGGTAAGTCATAGAATAAATCCACCTTTCAGATGAATCTCTTTTACTGGGATTGTGCTTTGTCTGTAATCAGTTATCCAATTATTCAACTAAATTGTCAAAATGCAATTTAAATAGAAGAGTTGATTTAGTATTTTGCAATAATGAAACTTTAATATTTATACATATGAATTAAATTAAGTTATTTATACATTCTGTAAAAGTTGGAGTAATGGGGTAAGATGGCCTCTTTTAATCACTTTACATTTTGTGCAATGACAACTAAATGACTAAATATTGCTGTTTATTTCCCCTAGTAACACATTGGCTGATGCATCATCATCTCGCACGTGCTAAACTTATAATTTATTTCTAAAACAAGTTTTCATGTGGCCTCCATATAAGACAAAAAGCTCAAATCTGTTAGTTTGAACAAAAATCAACCCCTGGGGCATTGGGGGAAGTCGTGGCCTAATGGTTAGAGAGTCGGACTCGTAACCCAAAGGTTGCGGGTTCGAGTCTCGTACCAGCAGGGATTGTAGGTGGGGGGAGTGAATGTACAGCACTCTCTCCACCTTCAATACCACGACTGAAGTGCCCTTGAGCAAGGCACTGAACCCCCAACTGCTCCCTGGGCGCCGCAGCATAAATGGCTGCCCACTGCTCCGGGTGTGTGTTCACAGTGTCACAGTGTGTGTGTGTTCACTGCTGTGTGTGTGCACTTAGGATGGGATAAATGCAGAGCACTAATTCCTAGTATGGGTCACCATACTTGGCCACATGTCACGTCACTTAAAGTGCCTGTCGCTGAAGAAAGACCCCGCTGCTGCCACCTTCTGGTCGTGGCTATAACAGTTTATTAAAAACCCAAAGACCAACGTCTAAACTCCTTTCGGTTTATTATTACTATACCACACATAGTTTAAAATTAACTGCTCACCACTTCTAAAGTCACATGACTTACTTTCCGAGTCTAATCTGAATCTGAAATAACTTGTTTAAAAGAATAATTCAACTGAATTGAGTTGCATGAAGGTCACAGTGACTCTTGGTCAAAGCAGCGTGATTGTTAGTGGCTGTCAAGCAAGATCCTCACCTTGGAAATGATTGAAATCCTCGGACAGATTCTTCTTCTTTTCTTCACTTTCCGATTATTATTAATTAAATCAAGTGTAGTGTTTCTTCTTACACGACTATACTAACGCAGTGTGCAGTAAAAGTGCCTCATCACACTGATTTCTTTAGCCATCAACACCAGTACCTGCAAACTGCCTTTGTTGTGACAACACGCTTCCAGTGATGATTTCACTTTTGGTTGCTATATGTATAGCTTCTGATTCTGAATCTGTTATAATGTGTCAGTTCGGCGGGAATATCAAAGGCTCCGGATACACGCGCTGTTACAATGAAACACGTTCCTGCCGTATCTCACGTCATTCACGTGCAGAATTATGATATCAAATGATGGCAACATAGATAAAAGAAGAATACTGATTTACTCACCGCCCAAATGGCTAGGATAAAAGGGGAAAGAAAGAGGTAAAAGACCTGTGTGCTCGTATGCAACTACATAGGAGTTGAAGAGGATCAGGTGTAAATGTCTTTGACAGGACAGGCCATCAGTTCTTCACTGACCATCAGTATTGCATCAGCTGCAGGTCTCCTATACGGAGAGTCGCTGTCTGCTGTGATTGGCCAGTCCACCCGAGACACGCCCACTTTACATTGTATACATTGATTACATTAGTAAATTGTCTTCGTTTTATTTTTACAGGGACCTCGAAACTTTTAAAGCCACACTCAACTATAATTTAATACAAGATTAAATAAATAAAATAATAATGATTAAAAAAAAAAAATATATATATATATATATATATATATATAATT